TCTCAACACAATTAAAGCCATATATGACAAACTCGCTGCCAATATTATCCTGAATGGGGGAAAGTTGAAAGCTTTTTCCTTATGAACAGAGAAAACACAAGGATGCCCACTCTTGCCACACCTATTCAACTGGTATTGGAAGTACTAGCCAGAAAAACCAGGGAAGAGAAAGAAGTAAAGAGCATCCAGATTGGAAAAGATAAGACCTGTTTGCAGATGACATGATCCTATATATGGAGAAGCCTAAAGACGCTACAAAAAAACTCTTAAGAGTTGATAAACGATTTCATCAATGTTGCAGGATACAAAATCAACACGCAAAAATCAGTAACATTTTTATACTCCAACAATGAACTATCAGAAAAAGAAATCAAGAAACCTAGTGCATTTATAATAGCTACCAGAAGAAATAAAATACCTAGTAATAAATTTAACCAAGGATGTGAAAGATCTCTACGATGACAACTACAAATCACTGAAGAGAGAAATTAAAGAGGACACATGAAGATGGAAAGATATTCCATGCTCTTGGATTGGAAGAATTAACATTGTGAAAATATCCATACTACTCAAAGTGATCTACAGATTCAATGCAATCCCCATCAAAATACCAATGACATTCTCCACAGAAATGGAAAAAACAATCCTAACATTCATATGGAACAACAAAGACCCTGAATAGCCAAAGCAATCCTGAGCAAAATATAAAGCCAGAGATATAACACTACCTGACTTCAAATTATACTACCAACAAAAAAAAAAAAAAAACAAATTATACTACCAAGCTATAGTAACCAAAATAGCATTGTACTGGCATGAAAACAGACCAATGGAACAGAATAGAGAACCCAGAGATAATCTCATATATCTACAGCCATTTGATCTTCGACAAAGGCACCAAGAACATATGCTGAGGATAAGACTGCCTCTTCAATTAATGGTGATGGGAAAATTGGACATCCATATGTAGAAGAATGAAACTAGACCCATACTTCTCACCATATACCAAAAGTAACTCAAAATGGATCAAAGAATTAGATATACATGCTGAGACTATGAAACTCCTAAACGAAAACATAGGGGAAGCACTTTAGGAAGTAGGACTAAGCATAGGTTTATGAATACAAGCCCATAAACACAGGCAACAAAAGAAATAATAAACAAATGGGATTATATCAAACTAAAAAGCTTCTGCACAGCAAAAGAAACAATTAACAGAGCAAAAAGACAACCAACAAGAGTGGGAGAAAATATTTGCAAAATATGCATCTGACAAACAATTACTATCCAGAATATACAAGGAACTCAAACAACTTAACAGTAAAAAAACAAGTACCCTGATTAAAAAATGGGCAAAGGAGCTGAATAGGCATTTGTCAAAGGAAGATATACAAATGGCCAACAGACACATGAAAAAATGCTCAACATCACTCATCATCTGGGAAATGCAAAACCACATTGAGATATCATTTCACTCCAGTTAGGCTGGCTATTATCAAAAAGACTGAGAATAACAAATGCTGGTGAGGATGTGGAGAAAGGGGAAACCTCCTACACTGTTGATGGGACTGTAAAATAGTGCAGCCATTATGGAAAATGGAATGGAGTTTGCTCAAACAAGTACAGATAGAACCACCATATACCCCACTGCCAGGTATACACCCAAAGGAATGGAACTCATCATGTCAAAGGGACACCTGTACTCCCATGTTTATTGCAGCTCTATTTACAACAGCCAAGAGTTGGAACCAACCTAAATGTCCATCGTTGGACTACTGGATAAGGAAAATGTGGTATATTTACACAATGGAATATTATTCTGCCATAAAAAGAATGAAATACTGCCATTTACAGCAACATGGATGAACTTAGAGAAAATTATGTTAAGCATAATAAGCCAGGCACATAAAGAGAAATACTGCATGTTCTCACTTACATGTGGGAACTAATAAAAATAAATAAACAAATAAATTTTTAAAAGATACAACAATCACAATAATTCATTGAACTTTTTAAGAGAAGAGAGTTGAACTGAGGTTGCTAAGTGTGGAAAATGGGGAGAGGGAGGGAGGAATGGGACGTACTGGTAAAGGGCCACAAAAATCAATTACACTGTATAATGATAAATTAAAAAAAAGAAAAAATGGCCACCTGGAGGTGTTTTATCAGTTGAGGTCTGTGGGCAAGACTATCTAAGCTCAAGCAATAAATGGAGGTAAAATATGTTTAACGACTAGGAGATGGAACACCTACTGAGGGTAATTACCATGCTTAAGGACAGAGAAATAGGCAATATTTAATTAATTGATCTTGTCAGTGGAGAGAGGTCTTTATAATAAGATTGTGTGGGGAGAGTAAGAACACAGAGTTGATGATGTGGGACATTGCACAGAGAGGAATGAAAATTCCCTACATTACCTACAAAAGGTCTTCTGAGTCAGTGGATTGGAATGTCTGTGGAAGTTTGGGAAAGCTGGTTCCTTGATTATTTATTTGTTTGTTTGTTTGTAGCTGGCCTGTACACCCCGGACCGTGGTGTTATATAACACTGGGCTCTCACTAACTGAGCTAACCGGCCAGCCCTGCTTGATCTTATTTAGATTATGAGGGAATAGGAAGCCGGTCACAAAAGATCACATATTATATGATTCTATTTAATATATGAAATGTTCAGGTAGGCAGATCCATAGAGAAAGAAAGTAGATTAGTGGTTGCTTAGGTCCACGGGTGGGGGATAGCTGGGAGTGACTGCTAATGGGTATGGGTTTCTTATTGAGGTGATGCAAATGTTCTAAAATTTATTGTTGCAATGGTTGCATAACTCTGTGAATATGCTAAAAACCATTGAATTGTACACTTTAAGTGGGTGAGTTGTGTACTATGTGAATTATATTTTAATAGAGCTGTTAAAAGAGCCAATAGAAGCTTTTCTGAGGTTCTAATATCGTTGTCTTGAAACTTCATGTTGTTCCTGGACCATTGAAAGCTGTAACTATAAAAGAAAGTAGTCTGGAGGGCTAGTCAGTTAGCTCAGTTGTTTAGAGCGTGGTGCTGATAACACCAAGGTCTGGGGTTCAATCCCTGTACTGTCCAGCTGCCAAAAAAAGAAAGATAGAAAAAAAGAAAATTAATAAAAAAGGAAAGGGTCTGGATGGTCTACAGTATACAGTGTCATTGTTACCTATGAGCTGTGAGCAAAGAGCCGTTAAAAAATCCAATTAATCAAGTCAGAGCTTCTGAAGCATATGTGAATAAGAGTAAATCAATAAATCTATTAACAGTGAAATAAATGGATTTGGATATAAATATCCATATCAAAATTTTTGTCAAGTTGATGACAGAAAATGTCATCAGTTCAGTCAAAGTTTTCAAAATAGAGCTGAGAAGCCATCTTGCTGACTGACATCTGACCAAAGTAAGCAGGCAGGAATGTAAATTGACATGTTTACCTTGGGACGTTGGGCTTGTGATTTGGTTGGGTCATCTTGTTCCTGGAATAATGATATATCACAAAGATTCACCGTGTTTCCTTTTGTTTTGCTGTGTTTGTGGCACCAGATAAAAGCTGCATACTGAGATAGCATCAATGTTAAATAAACCTTTGCCTTGTTTCACTACTATGTAACCATTAATTGATGAGATTTTTCAAGAAGGGGACTCACCCCCCAACCTTTTCCTCTACCTGCTTCACTACTTGTGCATAGGCTCATGATTTTTATGGACCTCCAGAACACATACAGCTCTGTTTGGTTGTGTTTCCTGGGTTGATCCTCAAACCTGGTTTTAAATAAACTGAATTATTCTTAATGGTTTTCCTCTCCAGCCTTTGATTTCAGACAAGTGAAAATAACATCCTCTTCACTAATACAGTAAGCTCCTGGTGTTGAAAGATAGTATTTTACCTGCATAAGAGTTAAATAAATCCAACAATCTGACTTGTTGGTTGCTTAATTTTAAAGTAGTTTCCAAAAGACTGATAGCATAGTTGTTAACCTGGTAAGAGGTTAGAAAAGTATTAGTGAGGCGTCTGGGGTTCTGGCAAGTGCAATAAACCAGAAATTAGGACACATGGATGTTAGGTCCACCCTGCACTTACTAGCTGTTGTGAACTGGGCAACTGTCTCACTCTCTGAGCTTGTTTTCTCATTTATAAAATGGAGACAATATCAGGACTAACTATCTTACAGATTATTGGAAGGATCAGATAAACTAGTATGTGAAAATACTTCAAACAAGTTTAAGTGCCATGCAAATGTATGATATTTCTTATCATTAAGCTAGAAGCCATTTAGTTAACTTAATTCCCATCATAGTAGTTAAAAATATAGCATTCTGCAAAAACTTCTCTTCCTTGCTGCGTAAAATACTATTTGTATTCACAATGAACTCTTAATAAGCTTATTCTGAAGCTAGCAGGATATGTGGCTATCAGTTTAATATCTTCAAGAACACCCTAGAAATGTTGCTGCAAATGCTGTAAAAAGCCTTCTTCCAAATATGAAACAGGAATTATAGGTTAAAACGGGGTATGTGATCATCAAAGAGATGAGGACTGGTAATAACACTGCCATCTTATCAGAAAAGGTTAAAAAGGGACCCCCAATCTCAAATTATATGATGTTTGGAACACATCACATTTTGTCAATCTAATAAAGAAAATAAAGTTTAATTTCCCAAAATTTTATTAAAAATGGATTTTGTCATCAGATATCTTACTGCAAAGATGTAATCTCATCACAGAGCAGTAAAGTTTGCCTTAATAACAAGCTTTAAACAAATGTAAATTCTTTTTGTAGTTCTTGAACTTGAGAGGTCTTTGTTACTTAAAAAAAAAAAAGTTTTCTTTTTCCCATGAGTCACAGATATTTTCCCACAAGAATTTCTGTTCATTAAAATTACTTTTAAGTTGTTAAGGCAAGGGGGCAGGGCAGGGAGTGGGACGAGACCATATTCAGGTAATTCTTTGAAGAATTTGAAAAAAAAAAAAAAACAATTCCTAGTCCATTAAAAAAAATCTTTATTGTATAGCACTCTCTTGATGTAAAAACTGCCATTTTCCCCTAAATTCTATGTCTTTTACTTAGTTTTTACCTTACAAGAATGAAAAAAATACCCAATTAACCATAGCAGTTTCATGGCAGATACAAAGCTCAAACTAAAAGGAGACTTTCAAATATATTCTGTAATATACATAAATACATTTGGTTATGACTACCTTAACTGAATTTTAGATAAAATTTCTCCTTAGGCTTTAGAAGGTACTAAGGTAAATGTCTAGGAGCAGAATATGTCTATGTGGCATTCCTTTCCAATTGAAAATATTTTATAGTTAAACAGAAGTGAACATTACCAAAGTATCCTAAATACAGTACCAATTCCATTATCATTTCCCTTGGGAACTTTCCCCTGGCATTTTCGCATACATATAGTTGTCAGACTTGGAGGGCAATGGAGGTATAATAGCACTATTTAGCTTTTTCTTTAGGTGCATGAGAGCTGAACAGATGTGTATCCAGTGGTATAGGTGTTCAATGACAATGTTACCAAATTTCCATACTTCGGTTCTGGAATGATCTGCATCAAGGAAAAAAAAAAGTTATGGTGAATAGTTTTGTACTTTCATTATTAAAATGATAAGCTCCATTACTATGATAAAAGTTTATTAACTATGTTTTGAGTCTAAACCATAGAAGAATCTTGTTTAAATACGTAATTACAGGAATAAGGATAGATGAATTTTGCTATATTCACATAATGAAATACTATGCAGCATATTAGAGCTATTAAAGGATTAGAGCTACATATATCATTACAGATAAATCTCAAAAACATACTGAGCACAAAAAGTAAGTTGTAGAATAATGTGTGCTTTTGGGTACAATTAAAATATAGTTTAAAAACCTGCAAAATAGTATTCTTTTGTGTATGGATACATAAGCGTGTGGTAAAAAAGAAATCATGAGGGGCCGGCCCGGTGGCGCACTGGATAGTGCGCCGCTTGGGAAGCGCGGTGGCACTCCCGCCCGAGGGTTCGGATCCCACATACAGACCGGTTCCCGCTCACTGGCTGAGCGAGGCGCGGGAGCAACGCCGAGGGTTGCGATCCCGTTGCCGGTCCCCGGTCCGGTGCGGGGGCAACACTGAGGGTTGGGATCCGTTGCCGGACACGGAAAAAGACAAAAAAGACAAAAAAAAAAAAAAAAGAAATCATGAATGAAACTGATAATTGCCAAATTCATAATAGTATTATCTCCAGGGAGAAAAAGAAGAAAATGGGATCAAGGAAGAGTAGAAAGCCTCGACTGTTCCTATAATGTTTTATTTCTTCAAAAAAGTCTGACTCAACATGGCGCAATGTTAAAGGTAGCTGTAGAATATAACTTCGCAGTGACTGCACGGGTATTATTCTCTGTACTTCTATGTTGAAATATTTCCTAATAAAAATTTTTTTTAGGGGCTGGCTGTTTAGCTTATTTGGTTAGAGTGCAGCTTTATAATACCAAGGTCATGGGTTTGGATCCCCAAACCGGCAAGGTGCCAGGAAAAAAAAAAAAACACTAAAAATTATTTTATTTTTTGGCAGCTGGCTGGTATGGGGACCTGAACCCTTGACCTTGGTGTTATAACACCGTAATCTAGCCAACTGAGCTAACCGGCCAGCACCTAAAAATTATTTTAAAATATGTATCACTATATACCATTATATGTTTAAGTTTGTTAGATTGAAAATTGTTAAGATATCATTCATAAAAGTTATTTTTTCCCAGAGGTCAATGACTAATACTGAAATATAATGGTCCGATGGAAAGAATATATACTTTAGAGTTGAACAGATCTGGATTCTAATCTTGCCTACCCCAACTAGTTTTGTGACCTTGAGGTCACTCGATAGCTCTGAGCCTCAGTTTCTTCTTCCATAAAACAGGGATAATATCTTAGAATTGGTATGAGGCTTAACAAGAAAATATATGCAAAGAGATGCCACAGAGTAGTTGATCAAAAATATTAATTACCCTCCTTCTTTCAGGTGCCTCCCACCCCCAGGTCTATGTTTTATTCATCGTTGTTATTTCTTGTGTCTAACTCAGTGCCTAACCCAATAAGTATTTGCTGATTTGAGTTGGATAAACCATTAAATTATACTTATAATTGAGGAAGAGCTTTTAAATAGTCTTTTTTATAGCTTATTAACAATAATGACATTTATTAGAATCACAAAACAGAACAAATTTTATTTCCTTGTCTTCTATCAACACAAAGGAACAAGGCTCCCTGAATTAGGTTTAGCTTTCCTATTTTTTATTGTTGATTTTTAATTGACACATAACAATTGTACATATTTATGGGGTACAATGTGAAATTTCAGTACATGTATACAATGTGAAATGATCAAATCAGGGTAAGTGGCATATCCATCACCTCAAACATTTATCATTTCTTTGTGTTAGGAACATTCAAAATTTTCTCTTCTAGCTATTTGAAAATATACAACAAACTATTGTTAACTATAGTCACCCTACAGTGCAATAGAACACTAGAACTTATTCCTCTTATCTGGCTGTAATTTTGTATTCATTAAGCAACCTTTCCCTATTCTCCTGCTACACCCCTACCTTCCCAGCCTCTAGTAACCACTATTCTACTCTGTATTTCTGTGAGATCAACTTTTTTACCTTCCACGTAAGAGTGGGGAACATGAGGTATTTATCTTTCTGTGCTTGGCTAACTTCACTTAACATAACGTCCTCCCGGCTCATCCATGTTGCCACTAATGACAGGATTTCATTCTATTTTATGGGAGAATAGTATTCCATTGTGTATATATAACACATTTTCTTTATCCATTCATCTGTTGATTGACACTTAGGTTGATTCCCTATCTTTTTTTTTTTTTTTTTGTCTTTTTTTGTGTCCGGCAACGGATCGCAACCCTCAGTGTCGCACCCGTACCGGACCGGGACCGGCAACGGGATCGCAACCCTCGGTGCTGCGCCCACACCTCGCTCAGCCAGTGAGCGGGAACCGGTCTGTATGTGGGATCCGAACCCTCGGCGGGAGCACTGCTGCGCTGCCAAGCAGCGCACTGTAGCAGTGTGCCACCGGGCCGGCCCTATCTTGACTACTGTAAATTGTACATGGGAGTATGGATATCTCTTTGACATACTGATTTCCTTTCTTTGGATACATACCTACTAGTGGGATTACTGGGTCATATGTTATTCTATTTTTAGTTTTTTGAGGAAACTCCAGACTGTTTTTCATAATAATTGTACTAATTTATATTCCCATCAACAATATATGAGTTCCCTTTTCTCCTCATTCTTGTCAGTATTTGTTATTTTTTGTCTTTTTGATAATAGCCATTCTAACTGGAGTGAGATAATATCTCATCGTGGTTTTGGTTTGCATTTCCCTGATGGTTAGTGATGCTGAGCATATTTTCATGTGCTTGTTGGCCATTGTATTCTTCTTTTGCAAAATGTCTGTTCAGGTCTTTTGCAAAAAAGGTCTTTTGAAAAAAATTGGGTTATTTGTATTTTTGCTTTTGAGTTGTTTGAGTTCCTTGTACATTCTGGATGAATTGTTTACACATATTTTCTCCCATTCTACAGGTTGCTCTTCACTCTGTAGATGTTTCCTTTGCTGTGCAGAAGATTTTTAGTTTGATATAATCCCATTTTTTTCTGTCATTGTCTATGTATTTGAGATTTTATCCATGATATCTTTGCCCAGATCCATGTCCTGAGCATTTCCCCTGTGTTTTCTTCTAGCAGTTTCATAATTTCAGCCCTGCATTTAAGTCTTTAATCCATTTTGAGTTGATTTTGGTATATGGTGAGAGATAGGGGACTAGTTTCATTCTTCTGCATATGGATATCCAGTTTTCCCAGCACCATTTATTGAAGAGACTATCCTTTCTCCAATATATGTTCTTGGCACCTTTGTTGAAAATCAGTTGACTGTAAATACATTGATTTGTTTCTGGGTTCTTTATTCTGTTCTATTGGTCCATGTGTCTGTTTTTATGTCAGTACCATGCTATTTTGGTTATTATAGCTTTGTAGTATATTTTGAAGTTAGGTAGTGCTTTGTTCTTTTTGCTCAGGATTGTTTTGTCTATTTGGGGTCTTTTGTGGTTCCATATGAATTTTAGGATTTTTTTTCTATTTCTGTGAAGAATGTCATTGGTATTTTGATAGGGATTGCATTGAATCTATAGATTGCTTTGGGTAGTATAGACATTTTAACAATATTAATTCTTCTAATCTATGAACATGGGTTGTCTTTATCCATATGAATTTTAGGATTTTTTTTCTATTTCTGTGAAGAATGTCATTGGTATTTTGATAGGGATTGCATTGAATCTATAGATTGCTTTGGGTAGTATAGACATTTTAACAATATTAATTCTTCTAATCTATGAACATGGGTTGTCTTTCCATTTTTTTGTATGTGTCCTCTTCTTTTATCAGTGTTTTATAGCTTTTATTGTAGAGATCTTTCACCTTCTTGTTTAAATTTATTCCTAGGTATTTTATTTTTAATTTGGTAGCTATTGTAAGTGGGATTGCTTTCTTGATTCCTTTTTCAGCTAGTTCGTTATTGGTGTATAGAAATGCTACTGATTTTTTGTATGTTGATTTTGTATCCTTCAACTTTACTGAATTTGTTTATCAGTTCTAAGAGTTTTTTGGTGGAGTCTTTCAGTTTTTCTGTATATAAGATTATGCCATCTGCAGACAGAGACAATTTGACTTTCTCCTTTCTAATATGGATATCCTTTTTTTCTCTTGCCTAATTGCTCTGGCTAGGACTTTCTTCCATGGTTCTGAGGGCAATCCTACAACAAAAGGTACAATATGGGACAGGAAAGGCACATAAAATGTTGGGAACTTGTGAATACAAGTGAATACAAGTCTCAGTTTTATTTTTACTTATTTTTATTTTTTTTGGCAGCTGGCCAGTGCAGGGATCCAAACCCCTGACCTTGGTGTTACAATACCATGTTCTAACCAATTGAGCTATCTGGCTAGCCCCTCCATTTTTATTTGAAGCTGATTTTAAAACATATCAAAACAATTAATTTTCCAAAACTCTCTGTTTTAACACACATGCACTGTCTTTTTTTCACTCAATTGTAAGAGTTCAATAAATGTTGAATTGAAACATTAGAAAATAATTGAATTAGGTTTTTCAAATACTAAAAGTCTTTTCAAATTATAGCTCAGTAACATTAGTGACAATTATGAATAAAACAAAAACAGATGCTAGTCATGACAGCATATTAAAAATACTTGATTCATCTCATTTTATGGGCAATACTAGACCAAGAAACATACATACTTAAAATATTGAAGGTGCATTTATTATAATTGATCCGTCTTTACACTAATGAGTTTCCTGGAAACTTTGCAAGGTGATCCTACAGGTTTCCAAAGATTATTTTGATTATCTTAATGTTCTAATGTTATAAATCTAAATTAAATAAAATTTCACCCTAGGATACTCCTAAAACCAGCCCTAATAATTTTCTGAAATAAAACAGCTCTATGGCTCCCCACAGCTTTATTCTG